AGTAGTCCTCATTGTCCGCTATGTTCAGTGAGACCGGTTTTAACCCAGGCTTTTTCAGACCCAGGTCAGCTGGCCTTGGTGAGTTCCCGATAGAGCATCTCCATTGTCTCAGTGTGTGGGTGCACCCCTCGCGGTCCTGAGTTCCTTGCTCATGTTCGCTCTCCTTCTGCTCCTGATTTGGACCTTGAGATTTCAGTCCGGTGCTCCAATTGTTGCACATTTTTGAAGTTGCTTGATTGCACTTCTTGCTTACTCAAGTAATAGTATTTCCCTTCTCGGATGTTCAGTGGGGTTGAAAACTAGATAGTTGTAGGATACGATAACCATTGAAACATTTATCACATGTTTCTTGCTTGATATTATTTGTGCTGGTTGTAATTATAATTTTTATACCTGATATTTGTTCTTATTGTATATAATTTTGTATTATAGAACTTATTTAAACAAAAGGGGGAGGTGATGTAGGAATTCCTACCGCCAGCAGCCTTTAAGTTACCTGCTCACTTGGGTGTGGCCTCTTATATTATAAATGCCCCATAAAGCACGCAACATTAGCTCTCTCTCCCGGCCGTGGGATTCTGTTGCTGTTCCCCTTTTGAGCAGAGGACTGTGATCTGTGAGTCTACCCCCCCAATAAATAGCCCTTTATTATATTCAATTCTGAGCTAGTGTGAGGTTTCCTGTTAGCGTCTGTCTTCAACCAGGCCTTGTTTCATTTCAAATACTAAAAGAGGTAGAGTAGAGCTGGGGAGAATGCTTACCTTGCAGTCATGAGCAACCTCCTTCAGTCCCTAGAAAGGCTAGGCATGGTGGCAGGCTTATAACTCCAGTCCTGAGAGGGCAGAGATACAAGAGTTCCTGGGGCTCACTAGACTATCCTAATTAGGGAGCTCCAGGCCAATGAGAGGCCTGACCTCAAATGAGGTTTATGGTATTCCTGAGTGACACAGCACCCCAGGCTGTTCTCTGACTTCCACGTGGGAACACACATGTGCATGCATACATACATAAAAAATAAAGCATCTTTTTAAAATAGCCTTTGGATCTCTCTCTCTCTCTCTCTCTCTCTCTCTCTCTCTCTCTCTGTGTGTGTGTGTGTGTGTGTGTGTGTGTGTGTGTGTGTGTGTGTGTGTGTGTGTGTGTGTGTGAACACGAGTGCTAGTACCCTGGGAGGCCAGAAGCATTGGATCCACTGGAGCTGGAGGTTTGGGAGGTTGTAAGCTGTCTGGTGTGGGCGCTGGGAGCTGATTGCACAGCAGTGTGACTATTTTCCCCTTTGGGGATAGAGTCTCTCTGTATGTAGCCCTACCTGTCCTGGAGCAGCATTAGTGTATTCAAGAAAACCTCCCAGAATTCCATTTTTTAAAAGTATGTTTTGGAGAAAATTAAAACTAAGGATTGAGATAAGGACTTCTGCAGCCCTAAGTCTAGCCGTGCAGACCCTACACTCTGAGACGGGGTCTGAAGAATGGCATCATGCAGAGTAATGTCTCCAGCACATGGACCGCATGCTCTCCACAGATGACATTGGATCAGAATCTTTCTGAAGCTCACTGCGTTCTCCTTACAGCACAGGCAAAGTGAAAGCTACTTTTCTTCCTTGTTGGGATAATAATGGATTATTGAAGATTGAAAAAAAGAAAATAGAAAACATTTTCTATAAAGGTAATGCAATTTACATAGATGCGCCCATTTATGAAATATGATGGCATAAATCTTGGGATCCTCTCGCTGGTCTCTGAGCAGAGGAACTGTTATGCCCAGTGGGTGAGTGACTTTGGAGAGCTCTTGGGCTCCCTGTCTCTGAGCATTGGTTTGTTTTCCTATTTCACGGCACAACACAAGTAAATGTATTTTGCAAGCAGATCACCTGGAGGAAGGAAATACGATGTTTTCCTTTGTTTTGCAACTTTCCCTCATCCATTCCTTCAGGACTCGTGCTAGGACCTCGGCGACACAATGTGGAATAAGGGAGATCTGTTTTCAGAACTCAAAAGCAGATTGAGGGGGGCTGGAGAGAAGGACTGGTGGTTAAGAGCACTGGCTGTTCTTCCAGAAGACCCGGATTCAATTCCCAGCACCCATATGGCAGCGCACAACTGTCTATAATCCCAGTTCCAGGAGATCCGACATCCTCACACAGATATATGTGCACATAAAATAAAAATAAATAAATAAATAAATAAAAATGTTGAGTGAGGCAACCCAGACCCAAAAAGATGAATATGATATCTACTCACTCATAAGTGGATTCTAGCCATAAGTAAAGAACATTGAACCTATAATCTGTGATCCTAGAGAAGCTAAATAAGAAGGTGAACCCAAAGAAAAACATATAGTTATCCTCCTGGATATTGGAAGTAGACAAGATTGCCAGGCAAAAATTGGGAACTTGGGGGTGGGGGTGAGGTGGGGCTAAGGGGAGATGGGGAGAGAAAAGTGAGAAGGGGAGGATAGGGAGAGCTTGGGGGAATGGGACAGTTGGGATGGAGGAAGGGTGGATATGGGAGCAGGGAAGTATATATCTTAATTAAGGGAGCCATTTTAGGGTTGGCAAGAGACTGGACTCTAGAGGGGTTCCCAGGTGTCCATGGAGCAGTCCCCAGCTAGTTCCTTGGGCAGCTGAGGAGAGGGAGCCTGAAATGGCCCTATCCTATAGCCATACTGATTAATATCTTGCATATCACCATAGAACCTTCATCTGGCGATGGATGGAGAGAGAGACAGAGACCCACACTGGAGCACCGGACTGAGCTCCTAAGGTCCAAATGAGGAGCAGAAGGAGGGAGAACACGAGCAAGGAAGTCAGGACGGCGAGGGGTGCGCCCACCCACTCAGATGGTGGGGCTGATCTATTGGGAGCTCACCAAGGCCAGCTGGACTGGGACTGATGGAGCATGTGATCAAACCGGACTCTCTGAACATGGCTGACATGGAGGGCTGACTGAGAAGCTATGGACAATGGCACTGGGTTTTGATTCTACTGCATGTACTGGCTTTGTGGGAACCTAGTCTGTTGGGATCCTCACCTTCCTAGACCTGGATGGAGGGGGGAGGACTTTGGACTTCCCACAGGGCAGGGAACCCTGACTGCTCTTTGGACTGGAGAGGGAGGGAGAGGGGGGATGGGGAGGGAAATGGGAGGAGGGGGAAATTTTTAATAAAAAAATAAAATATTTTTTTAAAAAAGATTGAAGTCTAGGAGATGGACACTGCTGCCAAACAATCTCACCTGTTAGTAACAGAAATGAGGAAAAGCCCAAGATGAGCAGAAAGGAGACTGGACTGGAGGGACATCAAGGAAGTGCTCTCTGAGGAAATGTGGGAGGGGACATTTTGAAGGACACCATTTCTGCTCACCGAGCATCTCGTGTGATTTGTTGTCATCTTCTTTTTTTAAATTTACTTGCAAGGACAAATAACAAAACGAGAAGTGATGCAGCTCACTGGTGTTTACTGCATGATTTTATGCTCAAAGCAGAATATGACACACCCAAAAGAAATAGAAGCAGGGGATCGAGAGATGGCTCAGAGGTTAAGAGCTCTTGCTGATCTTGTAGAGAACCCAAGTTCAGTTCCAGCGTCTCTACGGTGGCTTATAACTGCCTGTAACTTCACTTTCAGGGGGTCTGATGCCCTCTCTGGCCTCTGAATGCACCAGACACATATGTGGTAGACATGCAGGCATACACAGCAAAACATTCATATATATAAGTCTCAGTATCTCTCTCCTGATTTTTGTTTTTTCGAGATAGGGTTTCTCTGTGTACCCCTGGCTGTCTTGAAACTCACTCTGTAGATCTAGACCAGGTTGTCCTGGAACTCAGATCCACCTGCCTCTGCCTTCCCAGTGCTGGGATCAAAGGTGTGGGCTGCTACCACCTTGCTAATCTTTTTGTTTTTAAACAGTAACATAAGAAGATTATTACATGAATTTAAAGAACAATTTGTCACATTCGGTTTTGAGACAAGATGAGGTAAATTTAAAAAATATGAATAAAGTTTCCCCCGTGGTGATGCAGCTTGAACTCAAGGCCTGATGCAAGCTAGGCATGAAACTAACTACTGGGCAGCTACACTCCCAGACTACGAATGGGCATTAGTTCTCATGTTTAAAAGGCATTTTATTTAATAGCTTTTATTTTTGTGTGCATGGGTGAGTGTCTGCATGTATGTCTGTGTACCACCTGCATGCCTGGTGCCCGAGACAGGGTCTCATTCCACTGGCCTGGAACTTGTCTGGTGAGCTAGAGTGCTTGGTCACTGAGTGCAGGGGCATCTGCCTTTCTGTTTTCCTAGGATCAGAATTACATACCAATTTTGCTTTAAAAGAAGCGGGAGGGGAACACTTGCTTCAAAATATGTGTGGGTGTCAGAGGAGAACCCAGAAAAGCATGTTCATCATGTAGGTTCCTGGATCGAAATCTAGGCACCAGTCTCTGGGGTGGGCACCTTTACCTACTGAACCATCCTGTGGCTCACCTCATTTAAATGTGGGTTCTGGAAATCAAACGCGGTCAATGCAAAGCACGCATTTACATACTGAGCTATTGCCCCAGTTCTCGGTTAGTCTTTAGAAAAGGTTTACGATACAATTAACAAGGGCTGTTGAATTTGGTTGATGTAGTTAGAAATCTCACATTCCGCTTTCCAGCTCTTGTCGGGGACCTTGCGGTAGTTATTTAATCTTCCTCTTGTGAATTTTCAATATATATTCATGGTATTGTCTGATGCCCTGAGATCAAGAGGACAGGCTAATGATATTTAACTTTGGGTGCAAAAGGTAACTTCAGTTTTAAGAAGTTGTGGGGGGGCTACTAAAACAATTGTGGGTTTTTTGTTTTGTTTTGGTTTGGTTTTTGTTTTGTTTTGTTTTTTGTTTTTCTGATTTTTCGAGACAGTGTTTCTCCGTGTAACCATTCTAGTCATACTGGAACTAGCTCTTGTAGACCAGGCTGGCCTCACGTCTACAGAGATCCGCCTACTTCTGCCTCCTGAATGCTGGGATTAAAGGCGTGCGCCACCACCGCCCGACTTGTTTGATTTTTGTAAAGAGTTCTTTTGGATAAGAACGTAAGCGAAGAGTGCTAATTTTTAGTTTGTTCTTTCTATCATGTAGCTCTGGTCTTTGGCAGTCCTGGACCTTCTTATGTAGACCAGGCTGGTCTCTAATTCACCTGTCTCTGCCACCATAGCTTCCGTTGCTTTCCAAAAATAAGGGTAAGGGGGCACCTGGATTTGAACCAGGGACCTCTTGATCTGCAGTCAAATGCTCTACCACTGAGCTATACCCCCACTGGCCGTTTTAGCCTTCCTCTGCCTCTGTAGACACTCTGGACTTCGGACTGAGAATGGGCAGGCGGTCCCTACCCATTCGAACCAGGACCTGCCAGTCATGAACAAAGTATGCGGGTCACCAAACAGTGCAATCTACGATGTCTGACCAACGAATCTCAGGGCAAATTTACTTTTGCTTCTTGTGGTGATAGGTGGCGTTCCCGTTCACCATCACTAGCGACTTAAACCTAGCAGAAGACTTTCCAGGTTCCACAATCTACATTTCGTCTTTCCGGGTATTCCTGGTCTTCGGGCGGCTGGCGGAGGTTGCTGAGTGGTAAACTCTGTACTCTCGCCACCCGAAGAAGCAGCAAGAATTTTTGCTGCGGAGACAGTTCCCTTAGCCGCTAGGTCAACGAGCCCCAGGCTCCGCCCACCGTATCTGCCGGACGCAAGGGCAGTGACGCTACTCTGCCTGCGACGCCGGTGAGTCCGCTGCCTACGCCGCCCAGAAACAGGGGCTGGAGCTGTGATTGCGTCACATGTGTACCTCAGCACCTGCTCTGTTTTCCATTGCTGAGTCTGCTGAGCTCCAGAGTCGGTGGAAACTCGGAGCCGATTCATTCATAACATAACTTGGGTTAGTGTCTTGAGAGGGAGCTCAGTTCCGGTGTTGCGAGTCCCCGCCTGGTGACGCGCGAGATGGAGAGCACGTGCTCGCGTTGTCCGGAGTGTAGGGACTCGGTGTCTCTAGACTGCGGAGAACCTCAGGCTGTGGACTTCGCGGGAAGAGTCACCCGCTCGAGATCGGGAGGACTGGAGTGGAGAGTAGAGCTTAACACTTCCTCTTCGTGCTCCCCTTACGGAGAGGGACCCTTTCGGGCCAGCGGAGAGGGACCCTTTCGGGCCAGAGAGCTTATTTTAGTTCAGACCGGGGAAAGAGAGCTGTGCAACGTCGGGCACTTTCATAGTAACTGGGGACAATCCCGTTCAGCGAGATGGTGGGCAAGTTCTCTGGCCAGATCCTGACGAGTTCCTCTAGTGAGAGTTTTCTGCTGCAGAGGTCAAGTTTGGGGACTATGTATTAATGATGAAAGGAAGATTTACCATTGGGCATTGCGATGGGGATTAGGTGGGTGCGGGTTCCAAGAAGGGCAAAGATGAGCGCAGTACCACAGTCTCATGAATGTTCTCATCATATCACCAAATGTTGGAGTTTCTCAACATGTTGGGTTTTTATTTTTTTAATATTTATTTATTATGTATACAATATTCTGTATATTCTGCAGGCCAGAAGAGGGCACCAGGCCCCATTACAGATGGTTGTGAGCCACCATGTGGTTGCTGGGAATTGAACTCAGGACCTTTGGAAGAGCAGGCAATGCTCTTAACCTCTGAGCCATCTCTCCAGCCCCATGTTGGGTTTTTAAATGTGTTCAGATACTGATAATTTTAGAAAGAAACTGAGTTTAAATTTGATAGACCCTACTCCCATATCTAAAATGAAGATTATGTCAGTTTTCTATTAAAGTGACGGGGACTTGCTAAACAGAGACATGCTTGTTCCCCGCAACTCTTAAGTGAGTTCAATACTTAAGAGAATGTTGAATGTTTGGGGGTAAATTTTGTAGTACCATTGTAACGGGTTTTTTTTTTCCTTTTTTTTTTTTAAATATTTGGTGTGTGTGTGTGTGTGTGTGTCCCAAAGTCAGTTCTCTTCTGCCACCTTGTGGGATCCTGGAATCAAATTCAGGTTATCAGGCTTGTCCACAGTGTATCCACTTGGCTGGGCCATCTGCAGGCCCCATGGCAGTATTTTAATAATAATACTTAATAAAGTATGTTACTGGAAGTATATTTTATCACATGGATTTGTATTAGGGTTAGATATTTAACTCAGTTGTAGAGAGCTTGCCTGGAGTACATCAAAAATCCTGCGTTCTCCTCTGTTCTTTTGCTCTTTGAGATGCACATAAGTGGCTATTCAGCCCAGATAAGACACCAACAGACCAAGGTGATGTGGGAGTGATTTCTTATTAATAAAGAAACTGCCTAGGCCCATTTGCATTTGATAGGCCAACCCTTAGGTGGGTGGAGAAAACAGAACAGAATTGTGGGAAAAAGAAGCTGAGAGAGAGTCGCCATGATGCTCCCACGCCAGACAGATGCAGGTTAAGATCCTCCCTGGTAAGCCAGCTCGTGGGCTACACAGAATATTAGAAATGGGTTAGAACAATATGTAAGAGCTAGCCAATAAGAAGCTGGAACTAGCCGGGCCAGGCAGTGTTTGAAAGAATACAGTTTCTGTGTAATTATTTCGGGCATAAGCTAGCCATGCAGGCGGCCGGGTGCCAGGGACGCAGCCCTGCTGCTCCTATTTCAACACCAAGGAAACGATTCCATCTAAGTCCAGTTTGGTGAGCCAGTGAGATTACGGGGTAATTACTGATGTATGGGTATGCCAGGGAGCTACTTCCTGGACAAGCTCCGTCCAAGCATGGGTGACTTCTAAACCACATCAGTGGAGTCCCAACCCCAGTAAACCTTCCTATGTCACCCCTAAGAACCACGGGAAACCGTGGTTGGGACATGGGAAAGTTGGGTTTTGGTGAGTGAGCAGGAGTGGATGGATAAGCAGGTGAAACTCACTCCTGACCCATTTCAAGGACCGAATGCTAATAGGCCCATCCTTGGGATATTTTGAGGTCTCATTGGATAACAAGAGACATGCGGATTTCAAGACTACAAAGGTCTTATCTATCTAGTAGATGGAGTTCCACTAGCCAGGCACGTAGCAGGCAGGGGCAGGAAAATCACTGTGAGTTTGGGCCAGCCTGGTCTACATAGCAAGGTTTCAAAATCTCTAGTATTATAATTCTAAATTAAACGTTAATCTTTTCTTTTTTGAGGTGGGGGTGGTTTTGAGACAGGGTTTCTCTGTGTAGCCCTGGCTGTCCTGGAATTCATTCTGTAGGCCAGGCTGGTCTCAGGCCAAGAGATCTGCCTGCCTCTGTCTCCCGAGTGCTGGGATTAAAGGCACGCATCACTACCACCCAGATTGGCACATATAAAATGTTAAATAGGCACATGTAAAATGTTGAATAACTGTTGAACTTTGGATGGGATTCGCACTTGTGAACTTGCTCGCTTGTGTGAACAGGTAAGCGAGGTCAGTCAGAGACTGGCTGGTTTGTCTTACAAAGCAGAGAAGTAGAATTCTGCCTCTAAAAGTCAGACCAAGAATCAACACAAATTTACAATTACATTCTCAAAAGAAAATTGGAGCTGGAAATGAAGTGTTTCATGAGGAGAACCATGGTGAGCTCCAGTTTTATTTTATGCTTGCATATTCAATAGTAAGTATTGCAGATTCTTGAGTATATTGGCCAAAACATTCACACAATAACACGCTCACATAACTACTAGATTCCCTTCATGGATTATCATTATTATTATAATTTTGGTACAGAAACTGTAGTGTTTTTCTATTCTGTTAAATTAATTGCAGAAGTCCTAAAGTGCTGCTGGAGTTCTTCCAGGAAGCAAGCTTAGGTCCTTGTATATGCACATTATGTAGGCCGTGAAAAGGGTTTCAGATATATTTATTTATGAAACAGGCTTATCCTTTTGGTCATAAGCTTATCTGTAAGGTTACTACTATGCGATTGCTGGCAAATGTTTCTATATACTGACTAGCAGTATAGCTCCAATACAAATACAAAAAGAAGAAGAAAAGAGCTTACAAGAACAGGACAGTGTGAACAAATTATAAACACATACAGTGTAGTAAGCATTTTGTTCTGGTACACAAAGTCTCATTCTGATTTTCTATACAGACCATACCTCTCTATTGCTAGATCTGCTCACTGGCAAACTGTCCACACACGTCAGTAATGTTTTCAGAACATACTAAATGTTTCTTTAACTAATACAGTGGTATGACCTTAATTGTTTTCTCTTGTAAACTGGCTGTTCTTGTCAGGTTGAGAAAGGTCAAACCACAGCTGGCCTGAGATACCTGAGATGAGAGCTACCAACTTGAAGGCAGAGAAGTGTCAAATTAGAATTTTATATTATCAATCACTGTCGTAAGTTGGTACTTTTAGTTATTACTATGACTTGTATAACTTTTACATATGTTTGAAGAATAACAGAAGCTAAAGAATATTGTACAACTGGGTATCTGTCCCATTTTGACATTGTCTTGCATTTATTTTGATATTCTGTAGTTAATTCCAGGTTGCTTTAGTTGAGCCACATCATTCTTCACTTCCTGTAAACCACTCCATAGCTTTGTCTTTCTTCATAAAATTAGTTTCCTTTTCTTTGTTTGATTGATGGTCATTGGCTACTGAAATAAAATATGCATTTTAAGGTAAATTGTATTTTAAGACAAAAATTTATATATTTTTAAATATTTTTTGACTTTATTTTTGAAACAGTCTCAATTTGGGAGTAGTGATCATGCTTTTAATCTCAGAGTTTGTTGAGGAAGAGGCAGGAGGATTAAGATACAAGAGGCCCTACCTCAAAAAAAAAAAAAAAAGACCAACTGCCTCTTCCTCCCAAGTGCTGGGATTAAAGATCCTAGTACATATTTTAATTGTTTGTTGGAACTTTAAAGTAATAATGAGCCAAGAAGTGTAGTCCAACTCGGACTACAAAGTGAGTTCCAGGACAGCCAGGACTATTATACAGAGAAACCCTGACTTGGGAGGTGGGGTGGGGAGTAGAAAAAGCTGGATGCAGAAGTGGTGGACACCTATAATACCAACACTCCTATAGCAATATGGGAGGTAGAAACAGGAGCTTCACCTGGGAGCTTGCTGGTTGGTCAGCTAGCCTAGAGTGCTTGGTGCAGCAGCAAAAACAAGGAAAGAGCCTCCCTCAAGAGGTGGGAGGCAATCTCCAAAAAGCCACAAAAACATAAACAAAAGGAAAACAGGACTGTAATAAATAGGAAGAACTGAGGAAGAACCCATGAGAATGATATAATCTTAAAAATTATAATAAAGATGTAACATTGTTGCTTTTGTTTCTAGGAATTGACACCAGGACCTTGAGCCTAGTACATCTTAAACTCACTATTAATGGAGTGCACCCTAAAGACATAATAATTCTCTTTGTTTGGTTTCTATTCCTCTGGGACTTAAAGACAAGGTCTCAAGTAGTCAGGGTGGCCTTGAACTCTGATCATTCTGCCTTTCTCTCTAGAGTCTCATTCTATAACCTAGGCTGACCTTACTATAGCTCAGGGTGTTCTGGAAATAATGGCAGCCCTCCTGCTCCAGTCTCCTGAACTCTGGAATAACAGATATGAGCTACCATCGACAGAATTTTGCTTGCTTGTTTGTTTTTCAAGACAGTGTTTCAGATAGAATCCTTTTAACCAGGTTAAAATAACATCGGAATTAATATAACTGGTACCTACGAATAATCCCTATACCAAGTTCACATTCCTACAGTATATTTCTGCCATCATTGATGTATTTCATTAATTCTGATGCTGAAGCAGAACTGCCATGGCCTCCAGGCCGGCTTGGGTTATATATATAGTACATTCATGCCTGTAGGTGAGGAGGCCATTAGCTTTAGAGGGGAACCTACTTCCGTATTTTGCTAAGTGGACATGATGCTGTGCTGCTTTCTAAACATTTAACATTATACCCCTAGATTAGTGCTGCTCTCAACCTTGGTCATAGAGGCCTTTTGTGGTGGGCAGTGGTTAATGAATAAATTCATAACTGGTCAAAGTGCCGAGAGTCAGTGACTGTTGCTTAGCCCTAAATGGGACATCTGTGTATTACACACACTTGCAGTTCAGAGAGGAAAAGAATGTTAAGAGCCAAAGGACAGAGAGAAGTGCTATAAAACACTTAGGGAAATGACATTGTGCTAAGAAACCCACAACAGCCGTGTTTACCTGCATAAGATCAACCCCATCAACATTCTAGCATAGATGGGAGAGGGGAGTCATTTTTTTTTTCAGTAGTATAGCCACTGGTAAGGTGCCCTTGCTCTAGCAAACGAACATGTAAGCAACGCTAATTAAACTTGGTAGGTTACTTTAACAAGAAAAACAACAACAACAAATTATCAAACAAACCTGAGTATGATGGAATATACCTTTAATCCTAGCACCCAGGTGGCAGGGACAATTGGATCTCTGTGAGTTCAAGGCCAGTATGTTCTCTATAGTAAGCTTTAGGACACCTAGGGTAACATAGTAAGATCCTATCTCAAAAAAATGTTTTTTAAAGACATGGAATTAATAGGTGGATATGTTCCAAAGAAGGTGCCCAGAGAGAGAAAGAGGGCTATGAAAGTGGGGAATGGGGAGGTAGAGGCAGGAGGATGAGAAAGAGCTTCGGGATCAGGCTATGTGGGATCTTAGAGGCCTTCTAAGGAGTTGGCTCAAGCTCAGTATGTAGCTGAGGTTGACACCTTGAACTTCTGATCCTCCTGCCTCTGCCTCCTAAGTGCTGATAATACTGGTGTGAATTACTCTGCCTTTATTATGTAATTCTGGGGATCAAATCCTATGGTCAGTGAAGGCTAACCAAATACTCTGTCCACTGAGCTGTATCACCAACCCAAATTTGGCTATCTTAAAAACAAAAAACTGAGGTGCCACTAAAGTAACTTAAGGGTAACATGCTTAGATTTTTGTGTGGAAAAATCATTCTGGCTGCATTAAAGTACTCACTGAAGTCTGTCTCTAGAGTAACTAGAGTTTTGATATCCTATGTCAGGTCCTACGTGACTACATGGAGAAGGAATTGGATTAAAGGCAAATGAACATCCTGTTGCTTAACCTTTTTCATTTCAAACTAAGTGATCTTAGTTTCTGCTTAGCATATTAGCATATGTCCAATGGATAATTGAACAATATCTATCATTGTATCCATCTTAATTTTGAATTGAATGATAAACAAATTAGCATTTGTTTTCAAATAGTTCATCAAGCTCCAGTTTAAGGCCTTTCTCCAACCCTTCTTTCTCATTATGTTTGCATTCTATTTATGGCCCAGATGTCATCCCCAGCTCTGTCAGGATCTCACTCCCTGTGTAGCTCAGACTAGCCTTGAACACATGATCTTCATGTCTCAGCATCTAGGTACTAGAATTATAAGCATGCTAGGACAAATGCTAACTAAATGTTAACTTTCTTTCTCCTTCCTTTCCTTTTCACTTTTTTGAGACAGGCTCTCATGTAACTCAGGCTGGCCTCAAACTGATGATGACCTTGAATTCCTGATCCACCCCACATCCAAAGTGCTGAGGTTATAAGTGTGTGCCACCATGCCTAGCTTCATGATAGTGTTTTGTGTCTATGTCTGACCCTCATGTATCATGCTCAAATCTTAAGAGATCTGGTTCAGAACTGTCTTCCGGTTGATTTCTAGAGGTCTTGCCCTACGTTTCCTATCCAGTAAATGGTCAGTAAGTTTGCTGGTGGCTTTAAGTTACACTGTATCAGGCATCGTTTCATCTAACTTATAGTAATGCATATGTGGTTAAGAATTAAAGGAGACAGGCGTAAAAGATAGAGTGAAGAAAGAACCAGGTTAGCTAAGACATTGTATTTCAGATTCCTGTCTGTCATTCCACTCCGTCCCTTATGTTTGCTAGTCCCTGGAAAAACAGGACTAGGAACTCAATGTCCTGTTCATTCGTTACTTGTTCTGGAAATCTTTTACCAACTTTCTCATTCTACAGAGAGAATTCTGTAGTCTGTTATGTTTTTGAAGACAGGATTCTCTAGAGCTTTGGCTAGCTTAGAACCTACAGTAATTCTCCTTCAACCTGCAGAGTTTTGGGGTTATAATTCTGTAATATTTTGTGCTCCTAAATGGTGGTCATATAACATAGCCCTGATCACATTATTAATCCATGTGCCTTGCACCGAGTGTTCAGTGCTTGCCAAACATATGCTCATCCGCTGAGCCATATCTTTACCCTGATTATATCTTTGTTAAGTGCAAAGATTTTTGTTTGTTTGTCAAGATAGGGTTTCTCTGTGTAACAGTCCTAGCTGTCCTGAAACTTGCTTTGTAGACCAGGCTGACCTCCTCGAACTCACAGAGATCTGCCAGCCTCTACTTCCCAAGAACTGAGATTACAGGCGTGTGCCACCACCGCCTGACACAGTGGAAAGATTTTAAACACAGGTGACTGTATCCAGAACACATATAACAATTTTAAAAAAAAATGAAGTTCTAAAGTTGATTTTTTTTATTTTATGTACATTGGTGTTTTGCTTGCAAGTATTCCTTTGCTTGCATGTAGTCCAGATCTTGGAATTACAGACAGCTGTAAGCTGCCATCTGGATGCTGAGAATTGAACCTGGGTCCTTTAGGAGAGCAATCAGTGCTCTTAACACTGAGCCATCTCTCCAGCCCCAAGTTGATTTTTTTTTTTTTGGAATATTGGCTTGTTTTTTTTAGATTTATTTATTTATTATGTATACAACATTCTGCCTCGATGTATGCCCGCACACCAGAGGAGGGTGCCAGATCTCAGTACAGATGGTTGTGAGCCACCATATGGTTGCTGGGAATTGAACTCAGGACCTCTGGAAGAGCAGTCAGTGCTCTTAACCTCTGAGCCATCTCTCCAGCCCAAGTTGATTTATTTTTAAGAAAATTATTTGGTTATAGATTATCTAACATAGAGAATATTCCATTTTAAGATGGGCATATGCCTGTCGATGTCTAAGAAAAGGCTTGGTTATTTTTTCCCCGTTGTTTTTATTTTAAATCCTCAAGTTTGCAGACAGTTCATGTGCATTTTGGACTAGCTTAGATGCCTTGGGGCTTCAAGCTGCATAAACAGTAGCAGAGATAGTTTAATATAAAATCGGCTACAGGGTTTGGAGGCATAACCTAAATGTAAGAACATGAGAATGGCCTTGGGTTCAAACACCAACACCAAAAACAAAACCAGCAAAAACAGAAAAGTGGGGGCTGTAGAGATGATTCAGTGG